AAAAAAAAAGACAATTCAAGAACAACCAGCAAGATTGTGAAAGTCAGAATAACAATAGATCATAAACATAAAATAAAAGCAACAGTGGCATCATCACATGGTTCATTCCAGTTGTATGTAACATGCAAACTACAGATAGATTTGTGACATTCAAGCCCACCTCCTTGTGGAGAACATCGATGAACACGTTGATGAGGGATCAAGATTCCTCCATTTGGTCCTGCATAAAACCGAAAACTAAACATTAATTCATTTCAATCTTGAGCATCACATGACCTATAAAATTTTTTATCACTAGTAATAAAGCACACAGTCGTCACATGCACGTGGATGTAGACGTAGATCCTCCTCTGAGAGAGAGAGAGACGGGAAGAGAAAATATGGAGAAGCATATTCAATTTATTCGATTATTTTTCACTTTTTTCCAAGAGGGCAAAACGAAATTCATAATCTTGCATTTAAGGAGGTCATAAACATTTGGATGACAGTGTATCAACTATGCAAAAACACGAGAGAATTTTGATTCTTGTAGTATCCGATGTAGAAGCATCGCTAATGGTTATATAGACGGTAATATGAACCTTAACTTACTATAGAAGAATGCACTAGCTCGACTTGGTTTTTGCAGGCATGAGATGGAGCAGAAGTAATATATTTCAGGGACAGTTCAATATGGTGCACGGATAAGAATAATTTTCAATGAACTATCCAGTTAAACAGTTTTTCAGGACAAATTTTGTTGCTACAGGGAATGGAAAAGCTAAACCCCAATCAGGAGAAAGATTTTTCTTTCCCCGACAAATACTCGAATCCGAATAGAGAAAAAAAAATGACTGCATTTATCTTTTACTTAAGTATTAAATTCAGCGTATGTGGTTAGCTAAAACGGCGCACTAAAAAACTGAACCCAGATTGGATGTTGGACTCGCATATTAACAATGCTGCCCCAATATAAACTCTTGAGTTATCTCGAATGACAAGTCCAACCACATACACCAAGCTTTAACACAAAATCTATGTATATTGAAAAAGGTTGATAGAAAAATCAAAAATAGAAAGTTGAGAAATATGGGTCAAACCTTTGACTTACCAGTTTTGGAAATGTTGTTCAAAATTTAATTGGATAATGTTTCATGCTTGTGATAATGATTTGTGGCAATTTGAAATTTTTTGGTATCACTTGGGATTCAAATCGCACAAAATCAGAAATTCGGTTTTTAATTAAAATTAGCTTTTCAAATTTTGGTAAAACTTTGATAATAAAAAAGCTAATACACTGTTACCAAATTTTAGGGAATACACTTATAACAAAAACTATATCATTTTTAAAAATTATTCTATATTTTGATTGCAATATCAGATTCAATTATATCTACGAAAAATTCTTTCGAAATTTTGTTACATAATTTTAAGGTAATCCAATTAAAACAATTTTTAAAGGACTGGAATATTTCTCATTTTATGTTAGTAAAATCTAAGCAGATAGTAAAATCATGGAGTTTTTTCAATCCAAGCCCTAAAAAATAGAAAAACTTTTTTCTCAATTCGGGACCTAAATGTTTAAAAAATTTTAAATTAAATCCTAGAATTACAAAACCATAACACCTTAATTTGAAATTTTAAACTCAAATTAAAAAACGCCAAATCTGTTATAAAGTAAAAAAATAAAAAAGGAAAAAAAAATGAAGAAAATTAAAGAAAATACAAGATTGTTGGAGAAAATTAAGAAAAGTCTCTTGCTCGGTTTTCTTGTTGTTGTCTTTTTTTTTTTTTGAAATATTATGCAAATGTTTACTTATTATTTTATGTGAGTAAGCACCAATCTTTTTTTTTTCTTTTTAAATTCTCAATTTAATGATGTTTTAAGTTTTGTAATTTTATGACTTAATTTGTTAATTTTATAACATGTAAGTTCCGAGTTAAGAAAAAAAGATCTTTCAAGCCCCGATTTGATAGTTTACCATCTTTCGGGCCTTTGTTGAAAAAACTCCTAAAATCATTTAAAAGATTGATTATTATCATATATCAAAATAAGTCGTGACCGAATGGAAACATCACAAATCTTGAATGATTTTTTTTTAATTAGAACCATATCTCACATTTAATATAAATACTTATGACATCTATATAAGTACTCAATTACATAAATCATTTACCACATCTTTTAGCATTTTTTTCAATCCCTAATCTATAAAATTCGACTAATTTCATTTTTTCACCATACCAATATGCCACTCGTGTAGTTTTTTTTTAATTCGATTTTCTGAAAAAACAAGTTATACTTGACATTGAGGGTTGTTCGTATATTTGAAAGAAAATTCGAAGCCAAGTAGTTGGAAATAAATTTCAATGATGAAGAGGTAAATATTTTTTTTATTTATTATTATCTCATCCATATGCTAAATTTATTTAAATTATTAGCCTGTGTTGACCATGACTCGCCACTAAATCAAACCAAAACGTTTTTTACAAAGAAATATTCAATAATCTATGAATTTTTTAAATTGTCTTACATGTTTACATTTGTTACATATATACTAAGTCTATTAAATTTAATATTAAATATTAAAAAAGTTTAAGAAAAATATATCATCTTGTGCATTGCATGGGCCACGACTAGTAGATACCTAACAGTCCTAATATTGTGTTGCCAAGGCATTTAAAGAGCATCTGATAAACATGAAGCCCGAGATGCAGTCGAGTTAATGCTTTGCTAGTGGATGAAACCCCTTTGTCAACATAAACCATCAAGCACCATTGGACTATCAAGATACAAACTAGATTGCCATATTTAATCCATCTCATAAAATACCTCAATCAAGTCTAAAATATTATTGCTTCCACTATATAAAGTGCAGCATGACTGAACAGGATTAATACTATAACATAATCATATGCTAGATTTCTGCTCACAATCTCCAAAATAGAGTCTTAACGTTTTATACTCCTTTCTCAAAGAAATTTCACCTATGGCCCCTATAGGTTCGGGGCTTACTTTCACAAAAAAGGACAGACATTTTGGTTTTTTTAGCACACATAATTCTGACATACCTGCACATCTGAGGTCCAAAGAGTGAGATTGTCCCTCAGAAGCTGCATAATGAGAGTACTATCCTTGTAGGACTCTTCACCCAAAGTGTCCAACTCAGCAATTGCTTCTTCAAAAGCCTGAACAGCCAGAAAAAATAAATGAAAATCAAAATATTCAGTTTCTCAAAAACAAAATGAACTTACAGGCCCAGATGACATGCAAAGGCTGAACAAGATTACATGCTTATTAATTATTAAGAGCTAATGGTAACGAAACATGTAGCATATAGATTATTGAAAAAGCAGCAAAAGTGAATGAAAGCCAGCAGCAGTCTATACAAGTCATGGTTTTCATGTTTAAAGGTACATCCAGTAACTATTGCTAATTATTCATGGTCAAGCACAACTTCTACAAGAGGAAACGTCTTGTTGCTAACTAGGTCAACGCATCATGGTACAAATTTCTTATTTTCTTTAAAGATGTTGCAGGAACAGAACATGTACCGTATGTAGCAAGGTCTATTAAGCACTGTAACGTTGATTTGAATTAGTAATGAACAGCATTTTGGAAAGGGCATGATAAGATGAGGCAAAGCATTAGTGAAAAATACAACAGATGAGAACTACAAACCTGTTTCGCCATGCTGCAAGCTTTCTCAGATGCATTAAGAATTTCATAGTAAAAAACTGAGAAGTTCAATGCCAAGCCCAACCGTATAGGATGCGTTGGTGCAAGATCAGCTATTGCAATATCCTGCATATAATTGATTACATTATTAAAAGATCAATTAAAACCGAACAACTACAGCATGGTGAGTTCTTCATCACCTTATTTTTTCATTAGAAAAATAATGATTTCATAAGAAAAAAAAAATACAAAGTCATGTACAACCACAAAAAAAAAGTATTTATTCATAAAAATAGCATACACCCCTTCATATGAAAGAATAAATGGTGGGGGTGATATTTTCTCAAGATCCTTGAACCACAAATGGAATCGTAGTATTCACACAAAAAATATGCATACATACAGACATATATATATGCACATAAATATATATTTATATATAAATTATCCACATAGAACTCAGCTCCACATAAAATTTCTACGGGAGCTTAGCCATAGATAGTACATATGTATATATACCTCAAGAAAGTTAGCTACAATTATAAAAGTGTTATATCTCAGATTTGACCTCTTAAATATTCATTAAACAACTTTCAATTTCTCAACAGAACAAAGTATCAACTCGATATTATATACTAAGTGACCAGAATATAGCTCTAATAAAGTTGACAAGGTAGACACAGTATTTACAGCCTCGATGGTAACTGTTATTTCTCACAACACTCTTACTTTCTTAACATGATCTAGTACACACACTTGAGATTTCAAACGGAGTTTCCTTTAGTTGCAACGTACTAGGCTTCAAGTCGACGTCTTTGACCAGATCATGTCAGTTTCCAGATATTTTAAAGTGATGACAACACTCACAAGTCAATATTGACAATGCTTAAATCTAGTTCTTGTATTATCATTTTTTAACATGCATTGCTCATTTAGAATGTTCCTTACATCATGAACCTAAATAGATGAGTTCAATAAAGGGAATGACGTTTGTACTGCCCCTGGCCCATCAAAGTCAAAACTCAAAACACAGAATAAATCAATATTGAAATCCCCTCATTGGAGTGCTGGCTGCAACACTAATCTGAATCTCGTGTGTTCATCTTTGACATCTCCAAGTCAATGTTAAACATTTCAAATGGAACACTTAACTCTAAATCTGGACAAAACGTAATCATGACTGTCCTTTTCCACACTGAAGAGTCAGAGGAAGCAGTAAAGGGGGAGAAAGAGCACTAATAAGGACCATTACATCAACACTTCAACAGAGAGCAGAGACCGAGAGGGCACATAAGATTTGCTACGATTTGGTCACTAACCACCATACCAAACCGTGAAGACTCCAAATTTCCCTAAAATAGATACCCTTAAAACGAATTGCGTGCATAATGAATCACAATAAAATACCTGAGCAGCTTTATAGGAAGACATAGTCTCCTCTGCAGCCACCTTGCGCTCGTCCCCAACCTTGAACTCCGCCATGTACCTGTGGTAATCCCCCTTCATCTTCAAGTAGAACACTTTAGACTCGCTCGAGACCGCCGACGGGATCAAGTGATCGGCTAAGAGCTTCAGAACACCGGCACAGACCTTGGACAGCTCGGCCTCGACCTTGGATCTGTAGTCCTTGACAAGTACAACGTGTTCCTCGTTCTTGCGGCCTTCCTCCTTCTGCTCGATGGAGGAGACGATGCGCCAGGCGGCACGGAGGGAGCCGATCACGTTCTTGTAGGCCACGGAGAGGAGGTTGCGCTCCTCAACCGAGAGCTCAGAACCGGCGGCGCCGGCGACGAGGCTGTCCATGAACTGGACCATCTCCTCGTAGCGCTCGGCTTGCTCGGCCAGCTTGGCCATGTAGAGGTACTGCTCGCGCGTCAGGGCCATCGGAAAATCGAAAAGGGGATGAAGATTTCGAGGGAGAAGAAATAGGAAGGAATTGTGAGGGAAATCTGAAGAAAAGGGGTTGAAATCGAAGTCTTATAGTGAGTTGAGTTTAGGGTTGAAACCTTTGGGGGAATTTTTGGCGGCGCGTGGGACCAAGATATGTTTATTTGCATTAATTACTTGCTTTTTTTTTCTAAAGAGTTCTCTGATTTGTGAAAGATCATATGTAAGTAGTTCGTAACAATTAGAGTTCTTTTTTCTTTGATGAACATATTGATACAAGAGTTTTATGATTAGTGAAAGATCATACATAAGTTGTAACAATTTAAGGTTCATTTTTCTTTCTTCTTCTTTTGTAAACATTTTGATGAACATATTGATACAAGAGTTTTATGATTTGTGAAACATCATACATAAGTTGTAAGAATTGAGTTTTTTTTTTTGTGAACATATTGATAACAAGAGTTTTTTGATTTGTAAAACATTATATGTAAGTAAGTCGTAACAATTAGAGCTCTTTTTTTGTTTTTTGGGGAACATATTGATAACAATAGTTTTCTGATTTGTGAAAGATTATATGTAAGTAAGTCGTAACAATTAGAATTCTTTGTTTATTTATTTATTTTTTTTTTTTTGGTGAACATATTGATAACAAGAGTTTTCTGATTTGTGAAAGATCATACATAAGTTGTAACAATTGAGTTCTTTTTTTTTTCTTTTTTGATGAACATATTGGTAACAAGAGTTTTATGATTTGTGAAAAAATCATACGTAACAATTAGAGCATGTTTTGGATTCATTTAAAAAAATTAATATATTATGGAGAAAATAAACTCAGTTTAGAGAAATATATTCTCGATGCAATTGTTGGTGGATTGGGCACTGCTGATGTGGCAACAAGAAAAATTAACTTGGTGATACAGAAGAGACGACATAAAGTTTGAGGGTGAAAATCATCTCAATCGGATGATACAACTCTCTATTAACCATTAATATATACACAAAGTAAGGGTTACCGTTACCTAATGAGAACCTAAGGCTAATATAATAAATTCACAAATATACACAATAACACCCCCCTCAAGTTGGAGCATGCGGATTCCGAATGCCAACTTGCCAAGAAAGAAATCAAATTCACACTTCCCAAGCGCCTTGGTGAAGATGTCAACGAGTTGTTCCCTTGAAGGAACATGAGTAGTAGAAATGAGACCCTGAAGAACAGCATCTCGAACAAAGTGGCAAACCACCTCAATGTGCTTAGTTCGCTCGTGAAAATCTGGATTCGCCGCAATATGAAGTGCAGACTGACTGTCACAGTGTAACCGCATAGGCTGAGAGTGAGCGACACTAAGAGTAGATAATAGTCCTCGTAACCACTTCAACTCGCACAATGTAGTAGCCATCGCCCGATATTCAGCCTCAGCAGAAGAGCGTGCTACAGTAGGTTGTTTCTTGGTTCGCCAAGAAACATGATACTGTCCCAACTGAATAAACCAACCAGAAAGAGAGCGTTGAGTGAGAGGGCAAGACGCCCAGTCCGAATCACACCATGCATAGAGTTGAAGGTCGCAATCAGTACGAAGATGAATCCCCTGACCAGGAGAGCTTTTCAAATATCGAACCACACGCAGAGCAGAGTCCCAGTGAGCCTGACGTGGTTGATGCATAAATTGAGAAAGCATATTCACCGAATAAGACAACTCAGGTCGAGTCACTGTCAGATAGATAAGACGTCCTACTAAACGAATTTATCGCTCGGGATCAGACAATAGATCACCCTCAGCAAGAGGGAGCTGATGATTCTGCTCTAATGGAAAATCAGCTGGCTTGCTCCCTAGTAATCCGACCTCAGTTATGATGTCAAGAGCATACTTCCGCTGACAGAGAAACAAACAAGAAGAATTCCGGGCAACCTCGATACCTAGAAAGTACTTAAGCAATCCAAGATCCTTCATGTAAAAACAACGACTTAAGTAACTCTTGAAGGCCGCAATGGATGTGGTATCATTCCCGGAAACAATCAGATCATCAACATAAACCAGAACCTGCAGATGGACAGAACCACGATGCAGTGTAAAAAGAGAGTAATCATGATAGGATTGACAAAAACCATACAGCTTCAAAGCCGTAGTCAACTTGGCAAACCAGCAGCGGGGGGCTTGTTTCAAGCCATAGAGGGAACGACGAAGACGGCAAACCTGCCCATCAACGCCAGAACGAAAACCAGGAAGAAACTTCATGTAAACCTCCTCAGCCAAATCACCATGAAGAAAAGCATTGTGAACATCCATCTGGTGAACTTCCCAATGCTTAGCAGCAGCCACAACCAGGAATAACCGGACTGTAACCATTTTGGCGACGGGAGCAAACGTCTCGTGATAGTCAAGACCTTCCACCTGATTATTACCCAAAATTACCAGACGTGCTTTATAGCGCTCAACGGAACCGTCAGACTTATGTTTGATCTTAGAAACCCACTTGCACCCAATCGCACGCTTCCCAGATGGAAGAGAAACTACATCCCACGTGCCATTAATCTCCAAGGCACGAATCTCATCCTGCATAGCGGCTCGCCATTGAGGAACAGTCACGGCATCAACAAAAGTGTGAGGCTCAATAGCAGAGGTGACAGCAACCAAAAGGCTCGATGAGCTGGAGAGAATGAATCACAAGAAACATAATTTGCTATGGGATATGGTGTACCGGAGAATGAAGACGACTGATGAGAAGCAGTGGGGGGTTCATTCGACGGCCGGACAGTGTCAACCACAAAGTCCTTCAGCCGAGTGGAAGGAACTTTAGTTCGATGACCACGACCCAAGGGCTCAACTGAAAGAGTGGGAGGGGTAGTGGTAACTGAACCCCCCTATCGTCATCAGTAGCAGAAGACCCAGTATCAGGAGAAACATAAGGCAAAGGAACAACCGGAAGATCCTCATCATCATTCGGTGCAGAAGCAACGGGCACAACAAGAAGCAGTGGCAAAGAATCTGGCTCAGATGAGTCTGACTGGTATGGGAATTCAGCCTCAAGAAACTCCACATCACGAGAGACAAAGAAAATCTGATGATCCAAATCATACAAACTCCACCCTTTTTTGCCAAAAGGATAACCAACAAATAGACAACGACGACTCCGAGCAACAAACTTGTCACCATTACGATCTTGGTTATAAGCATAACAAAGGCAACCAAAAACCCACAAATGAGATAAAGAAGGAGCCGAACCATAAAGAATCTCATATGGGGTTTTACCATGTAAAACCAAGGAAGGAGTCCGATTTATCAGATAGACCGCAGTCAAAACACAATGACCCCAAAAAGGAAGAGGCAGATGAGCCTGAAACCGCAAAGCACGAGCTACATTGAGGATATGCTGATGTTTGCGTTCCACACGCCCATTCTGCTGAGGGGTGCCTACGCAAGAAGTCTCATGCAGAATCCCTTGACGACGAAAATAAGAGGTCAAACACATGAACTCACTTCCATTATCAGTACGAATAACACGTACCGATTTATCAAATTGTCGCTTAATCATAGACAAAAAGTTCAGCAATGTGGAAGCAACATCCGTCTTATCATTTAATAAATAAACCCATGTCCCACGAGAACAATCATCCACAATAGTCAAAAAATACCGTGCACCAGAGAAGGACGAAACACGATACGGACCCCACAAATCACAATGAATCAAATGAAAAATCTCATGACTAACAGTTTGACTGAGAGGAAAACTACGACGATGTTGTTTAGCACGGAAACAAGCATCACATGAATTATGCAAATTACGAGAACTCGAATCAATAACAGGAACCTGGACAATACTTGAGCAGACGGATGTCCTAGACGTTGATGCCACACATCGAGAGAAACCTTTCGAACACAAGAAACTGCAGTAGAAACAGACTCTCGAAAGAAGTAGAGACCACCCAACTGCTCACCCGCGCCAATCACCTTCCACGAAGTGCGGTCCCGAATAACACAGAATTTGCTTGTAAACTTAGCGGTGCAGTCGGAGTGATCCAACAATTGATATAATGAAATCAAGCTGCACCGAAGGCTGAGAACGTATAAAACATCATTAAGAGCTATATGAGATCCCAAATAAACAGTCCTTGCCTTGCTAGCCATTGTCAAGGAACAATTAGGCAATTGAACATGATGTGCGGGAATATCCCGAACATCAGAAATAAACTCCAGGAACCCTGTCATATGATGAGTTGCCCCACAGTCGTACATCCAATCAAATAAACCACGTGTGCCAGACAAAGGATTCAAAACACTACTAGCAGTGGAAGAACCAACAGAACCGGCAACAAATGAATCACAGATACCACTGGAGAAAGTCGCATTCGCATGAGCACCACTCTTGCCGCGAGCTCCACCATGTCGGCCACCACCAACATTATAAGCACGACCACCACTAGAATCGAACCATTCTGAATACACAATAATCTCAAAACAAGTAGCAGCAACATGACCAATTCGACCACAATGAGAACACTTGGAACGGTCATCAACACGGTGGCCAGCAAGTTTGGCACTACCTCCGGCCGCATCGGACACGACTGATGTCGAAGAATATGCCATTGAAAAAGAGAATAATTACAATTGGAAGAGAAATGACGGCCATACGGGACGGGATGCAAGAGAAATGAGTCGGGACAGTGAACAAGAGCTGCTGGTGGAAGCAAATAGCTGCAACAGGATATTTTTTTTTTTTTCGGACAGAAATTGGGGCGATCAGACAACACCAAAATTGTGAATGAGCTGCTGTGGGCTGAAGTCTATCGCACAATCACCTTTTTTTTTGGCGCGATAAAAAATTAACAATCAAATGAATTTGCAATGAAATTGAAAGCAACTAGGCGTGAATAAGAGAAGTCCACGAATGAAAATCTGGAATTGACAAATCAGAAAAAAATCCAATCAAAATTGAAGACAAACTAATCCGATAAAAGAAAAATTTGACAGAAGCCCACGGATAAAGACAAACCAAAAATTATGGATGAATACAATCAACAAAAAATTTGACAGATAAATTTTTGCGATCCGACAAAACATAAAATCATTCTCTGATACCATGATACGGAAGAGACGACATAAAAGTTTGAGGGTGAAAATCATCTCAATCGGATGATACAACTCTCTATTAACCATTAATATATACACAAAGTTAGGGTTACCGTTACCTAATGAGAACCTAAGGCTAATATAGTAAATTCACAAATATACACAATAACACTTGGTCTACTCTCTTAATACTAGTACAAATCTCGTGCGATGCACGGGTACGATATATTCATTAACATTTATAAATTACAAATGTTCATTAAATAATATTTATAAATTAGAAATATGAAATCAATATGTAATACAATTCACCTATATTAATTTGTTGAAAATGCTATATGAAACTTAAATTGTGTAAAATTACAGAAAACATGTCTATTTAATATTAGTACACGACCGGTACGGTGCAAGTAACTGATAATAAGTTACATTCTATTCATATTAAAAATAAATGTCATTTTATAATTTTTATTCAGAAATTTGTGTTGACTCAATTTGATTTAAGTAAAAACAAACCTTTATACACACACACAGAGAGAGTAAATAATTTGATATGTTCTACGCACATTTACAAAGAAGAATAGACAATAGTATTATCCAGTTTTTTCTTTCATAAATATCGAGTAAAATGATTAGCAATATAAAAAAGATTGAAATACCATTTATTATCATATATTGGATCAACAGTATAGTATACCAAATAATTCGATTTCATACATTACCAATAAAATACAAAAAATGATATTCAGTTTAACTACAAAATTAATCACCCAGCATACAAAACAAAATCAAGACTCACGTTTATTATAGACAAAAATAAAAAAGACCCAAAATTAGTTATTAAAAAATAATTAAATAGAAACTGCCATAATTTTAAAATAACTTCATAATAAATTATAATTGAATAAATAAAGCGAACTTACACGATCTACGTAATTAAGATATCTTAAAAATATAATTTTTTTGTCTAATTATTTACTTAATTATCCACGATTTGAGGTATCAAATAAACAAAAAATGAATAATATTTATTAAATAATATATAAATAAAAATAGTCATTAACACAATTTTTTTAGAACAGTTTTTCCAAACTGCATAATTAATTACAGTTGTCAGTATTTTCATAATTGTAGTAATTATTTACGATTCAATAAATATGTCAGATTTACACAATTTGCGTAATTAATGTATATTAAAAATATATTTCACAAAAGAATTACACGAAAAATATAAATACTTATTAAACAATAAATTATACAATTTAATCGGGTTTTTTTTTACTAAAACACATAATTGATATTGCAGTCAAAATTCCCATATTTGGTAAATAAGCCAATTCACATGATTTGAGTAATTAAGGTATCTTAAAAATGAATTTACCATAAGTGATTATGTGAAATATACCATAAATTGTTAAATTAATTTGAGTAATTAAGGTATCTTAAAAATGAATATTTATATGGCTTAATATTTCCTTAAATAATGAATCGCAATTTCCATAAGTGATTATTTGAAATATATCATAAATTATTAAATTAATTTCCCAAAATAGTAAATAGATTTATTTTGGAGGGAAATAGTTACTATTTAAAAAATAATCAAACCTTGTTTTTATATATATATA